TTTTTTTTTTTTTTTTTTTTTTTTTATATCTTTCTTTGATTCTTGCTCGATCTTTTTGAATTTTTGATCGTAGTTGTTTCGAAGTTGTCCATGAAATTCATCATATTCGTTGGTGTATTTATATGTAAGCTCGATTATTCCTCAGGGATCAGCAACACGTACGTGTAGTAGACGTTGCTCTTTAATTTTCTATTACGCACACGTGAATTATTTTTTGTATTCACCAAAAAGATTTTTATATATATATATAATGGAAAGAACGACAAATTTATTTTTTTCATATTATTTTCATATTAGATTACAAAATAATTGTAATGCGATCATTGAGTTTCTATTTAAATAAATCGTGATTATTTTATATTTTTTGTAGTCGGTTTATTATTTGGATTATGAACATTAACACATTTGTTCCTTGAAGAGTGAAATGTATCTTTCACTTGAAATAATGATATTAGTTTCGTTTCGAGATTTAACTAGTTTTAAGATAAATTGGATAGATAATCTTTTACTTATTTTTACAATTATGCCGAACGGAACTTTCATAGAAATGAAAAAATTTAATTAACAATGTAGGTTAAAGGTGTAAATCATCTTCAAAATCATTAACACATTATTCTATTACTGCAAGTGGAGAAAATGAAGAATACTTTACAATTACACACATAAACTCTGTATTTCGTTAATTATTTATTTATTTTGATTTCTATGGCCTACTTGGAAACATTCTGCATTTGTTAATCTTCAAGACTTGAAGCAATGAACATAAGCAACGGATCAGGAAATATTTTTGTATTAAACTCTCTTAATTAACATTACTCAACGAAATTGATCAACCTTTTCAAAATAGTATTCAATATTCCATTGAAAAAAATTAACTAAAAACCATCTTCGTCGAAATCCATCTATTCAAACTTTCTATTGAAACTTTGAACCAATCCAAACTCTTATTAATTCCCTCCTTAACTCAATCAATTTCAACAAAACAATACTCGCCAATAATTAAAAAATCAACCCCTTCCTCCAAATTAACTTCTCCAAATTCATCATCCACCTGAAGAAGAAAGAAAAAAGAGAAAGGAAGAGAGAGAAAAGAAAAAAAAAAAAGAAAAACGAACCAGAATATTTTCCCAAATATTAAATTCTCCCGAGCCATTTTCACCACCTACGCCAGAAACCAGATTCCGTGAAACCGAAAAGAATCCAGCGGGCTCCGCTTTAATCAAGGTCGGATCTTCGTTTTCCCCACGTCCACGGTCAGGCTATCAAATACAATCACCGAACGTGCGGCATCTTTTCCCTCCTCCTCCTCCTCCTCCTCCCCCTCCTCCTACATCCACCCACCCACCCTCGCCAACAGTCGATTCGTTCCCGCTCTCACGAATTGAATCCACCCTTGTGGTGGTGGTGAAGCCGGCTTCCGGAGGGAAGATGAAGGAGCGGAGTGAGCCAGGGTTGCCAGGGCAACCACCGTCGAGAAACCCTCTCTGTCGTTGCCAGGGCAACCTTCGCCGACCGACGATCCCTAAATATGCGCCACCGGGCCAGAAGTGGCGCGAAAGAGGGTGGAACAGGGTGAAAAGAAGAGGCTAGTTGTAAGAAGAGGGAGAATTGGCGGCATTGGGTGAGAGAGAGAGATAGAGAGAGAGAGAGAGAAAGGGAGAGGAAGAGGGAGACAGTGGCTCGACACTGGTTGGCGGAAGGAGCGTGTGATGGTGGGTTTGGTAACTGTTACCAGGGAAGGTGAGGAGACCCAGTTAATTACTAAAGCGTTTTAATCGTCGGCAAAGTTCCGACGGCACTCAGGAGCCCCGGCCAAAAGGGGTTCGGAGAATGTGGCGGCTGTGTAAATTAGGAACTCGCCAGTTTCTCCGTACCGCCGACTACTGTGCGCCGAGTTCCACCAAGTTTTGGGGAACTCGGTTGCGCGGTTTGAGAAACCGATGTCGGACGGATTAAGAGGCACGTGGTGGTTAACTCGGAGAGGCGAGAGATTTTTATTTTCCATTTGAAATTTGGAATGCGGCGCGCGAATAAACAGAGTAGGGGGGGGAATGGGAATTGGAGATAAGTGTCGAGAATGAATTTTTCATTTGAAAATTTATCACGCGCGAGGAATTATTTGTACAGCGCGAGAATAGGAAATAAATATTGAGAAACTCGTGGCGAGCATCGAGTGAACAATTCGCAACGATAATTTGAAACCCATGGATTCTTGCCGGCGAGAAATCGATCTCTTGAAAAATTGCCTTCTAAGGAAACGGTTAAAAAATGTATTGCACGATACGGATCGATTGGATCGACTTGAACTTCGATGGGAAATATGGGGGAGGAAATTAGAAATTTTTCGAAATTTGATTGAAAGACAATTGCGTTCCTCCATTCCGGGCGAATAGACGAGAAAACGCGGGCCAACCGAGAGCCATCCTTTCGTCCCGACGTTAAATAACTTTGCTTAACAAGGTGCCGCCACTGTAAAAAGATTACGTAAGCGGTAATGGCCGCCGGCT